AAACAAAAAAAAAAAAAAAAAAGTGTTATGTTTGAGATCTAATCTAACTGCTACTTGAAAGAAAGCATGCAGGCTAACATCCTTTCAATCCACAGCAATAAATTTACAGAAATGCAAGTGTTCTAGCTGTGAAATACCCTCATAGTCTGTGGTACAATGTTCAAAAATCATTAAAACATGTAAATAACCACCTAAATATTTCTACTTTGAAGTTTACTACAAAAATTAAATCAGCTGGGCATGGTGGGGCACTCGTTTAATGCCAACACTCTGGAGGTAGAGGCAGGCAAATCTCTATGAGTTTGAGACTAGCCTGACTACCCAGTGGGGGACTAGATAGAAACCCTGTCTCAAAAAATAACAACAGGGGCTGGAGAAATGGCTCAGCGGTTAAGAGCACTGACTGCTCTTGCAGAAGACCCAGATTCGATTCCCAGCACCCACATGGTGGCCAGGAACCATGCTTAACTCCAGTTCCAGGGGAATCCGACACCCTCTTCTGACCTCCACGGCACTGCACGACAGGAGTGCATCACATACACGCAGGCAATCCACTCATACACATAAAATGAAAACAATAAATAAAATATTTTTAAAAATAACCAAAAAAAAGCCGGAGGGGGGGGAGGGCGCACACCTGTAGTCCCAGCACTGGGGAGGCAGAGGCTGCCGGATCTCTGTGAGTTCAAGGCCAGCCTGGTCTACATAGTGAGTTCCAGGACAGCTGGGGCTACAGGGAAACCCTGTTTCAAAAAGACCAAAAAAAAAAAAAAAAAAAAAAAAACAAAAAAAAAAAAAAAAAAAAAAAAAACCAACCAAACAAACAAACAAACAAAAAAACGCAAAACAAAAAAGGAGCAAATATTTGTTTTCCAAAAGTCCAAATCCAGTCTTATCTAATGATAACATTCCATTCAATAGGCATCAATAGTTACCAGCAGATCTGGATGTCTGTGGTATAGAACTGGACTGTGAAGACTTAACCAAAGAATGTGCAAATTCGTTCTACCCAATCACGCCAACAGATTATTAAACTCCGATCTTTTTTTGTTTTAGACAGGGTCTCACTCTGTAGTCCTGGCTGGCCAGGAACTCACAGAGATCCGCCTATCTGCCTCTGGTTGGCTGGGACTAAAGGCGAGAGCCACCACACCCTACCTCCTGCAGCTGGTTTCCAAACCTGAGGACCCTTTGAATTCACATCCAAGTTCCAGGTAGTTCTTGCCACTGCACATCAACGCGGGAGTTAAAAATCCTGACAACCAAGCCAAAAATTTTAAGGTAGTCTCCCTATGCATGTAGCCCAAGCTGACCGACTGCCGGGATGACTGGCGGGCAACACCCTCCACCCCGCAAAGTTGCTGGCACATCTTTAATGGCAAGAATGCCAAATGCAGTCTGTACTGTGCGCGAACCCCCAAAGCCGTGAGGCCACTTGCTACGTCAGTTACTAGATCTCGTTGCATCTCACTGCCCTCATCTGTTAAAAATAAGAGGGATGAAAACAGCACTTGCAAGCTAGAGGCTGGTGGCAGAGATTCAGTGAGTTTCGGAAAGGACAGGCGCCCGGGATGCCGTTGCAAGCCGCTCTGCTGTTTCTTGGGGAGTGCGGGGGGCGTTCGAAGTATGGTCACCGCATCCCCTGGGCCTCGGCGCCCCCAGCATCCCACATCCCGCGGAACTGCTTGAAAGCCGCGGGGTCTCTTCCACGCTCGGGGGGCGTCCGGCCCGCCGCGGCCTCTGATCCCGCGCGTCTTGTGCAGGCCGGCCGGCGGAGGCCGAGGTGCGCGCCCGGCGACCCCCGTCCTGCGGTCGCCCAGACCCAGAGGTCGAAGGCCGCGCCGCCCCACGCCCGCCCGGAACTCGGGGCCGCAGCCCCCTGGGCCCCGCAGCAGCCGGCCATTCAGCCGGCGCCGGGCCTCACCAGGTCGATGTGGGAGAAGCCGGTGAGCACCAGGTTCTTGAGGAGCTCGCAGCCGATGCCGCCCGCGCCCACCACCAGCACCCGGCCGCCGGCCACCGCCTCGGCCAGCTCCCGGGGCAGCCCCCGCGACAGCGCCATGGCGGGACGTCCACGAGCCGCGGCGCAGGCGGAGGCGGGAGAAGCGAGCGGTGGCCGGAAGCGGATGGGGGAAGGGCGGCGCAGCTTCCGCTCCTGCGCCCTGCGGATGCCAACCCCGCCAGCTCCGCGGCGGCTCTGGGAACCCGTGGCGTGGTCCACGCAGCGGCCTTAGGACCCGCAATGGTGGCTCCACTTCTGCATCTACGCGAGACCCGCGGTCGGGTTCGTGGAGGGGCGAAGCCTGAGTAGGCTGGAGTTCGCTTTTAGCAACCTCGGTTTGAACTCCCAACGAAAACTTTAAAAAAATAGTGTCCCTATATGTAAAGAGCTCTTAGAAATTAACAAGAAAGGCCTGGAGTGATCACCTTTAATCACAGCACCGGGAGGCAGAGGCAGGCGAATTTGAGGCCAGCCTTGTCTACATAGTTCCAGACCAGTCAGGGCTGCAGGGAGACCGTCTTAAAAGAAAAACAAAAATTAACAAGAGAATTGTTTTCCAAGGAAAAAATAATTGGCAAAGGCTGCGAACCGGCACTAACAAAGAAAATGGACAATATGACTTACAGGGTCTGCAAAAAGGCAAAATAATACTTGGATTAATTTCACTTATTAAAAAAGAACAATACTGGGGCTGGAGAGATGGCTTAGCACTTAAGAACACTGGTCGTTCTTGTAGAAGATCCGGGTTCCATTCCCAGCACCCACAGGACAGCTAACAACTGTGTAACTCCAGTCCCAGGGGATCCAACAGCCTCTTCTCTCTGAGGGCATTGCGCGACAGGGGTGCACTTACGTACATGCAGGCAATACACGCATCACATTAAAAAAAAAAAGGGGGGGGTGCTGGGCGTAGTGGCTCAACGCCTTTAATCCCAGGACTCGACTGGGGAGGCAGAGGCAGGCGGATCTCTGTGAGTTCAAGGCCAGCCTGGTCTACATAGTGAGTTCCAGGACAGCTGGGGCTACAGGGAGACTGTCTCAAAAAGAC